TGCGAAGAGCAGGAACAGTCCACCTGGTTGTCTTGAAATGCGCACACACCCCCTCCCAAAAAGCGGCAGCTAAACCCCTTCCACTCCCCAGATTTACAGTTGCAGGCCCCTTTGCTTCTGCCTGATGTCCTGTGGAGCACCTGCTACCACTTGGCCGGTCGGATCGCGAGCACTGCGGCAGGCGCTGATGCTGCTTCTGTTGCTAGCACAGCTCCACAGCGCCACGGCTGCAGCCTGAAGTTCTTCCTGGCCACCAGATGGAGGCGCTGGGCATACACCGCATGGCAGGGCGGGGAAAGGGCCTTTTGTGAAGGGCAGGACTACGCTGCTGAGTGGCCCTCCCGGACGTGGGATGGGCCACGACAGGCAATCCCTCCCACCGTCCTGCAGTGGCGGGCACCATTTTGTTTCATGCCGCACTCCACAGTGAGGAGCCGCCATTTTGTGAAAGGGCCCAACCCACTTGTTTCCGTACCGCTGCCTGATTGGCTTAGCCAGCTTTGTTTTTAAACCCCTGTCATCTTCTCATTCCTCCCTCTGATTGGCTGCCTGCTTCCAGACCGGGAAGGTCTCACGTGTAGGCAATGTTTATGTTTCTCTAGAGCCGTGCTGGGTGTTTGCCCACGTGCTGGCACCGGGGGCTGCTGGTGGCCTCTGAGAAGTAGCCGGTATCGGCGCCATGCAATCTGGCAAAGCCGGTTCCAGCGGCACTTCCGCAGAGCAGGACAGAACTCAGCTGCCAAGAAGGCGGGGCCTCGGGAGAAAAGGTGCTACGAAAGGGCAGCCAAAATGGGTAAAATGCTGCTCAGCAGTGGGGAGCAAGGAGGAAAAAGTGTGAGAAACCGCTGTGCAAAGTGTAAGGTGAGAGCTGGTGCGGGAGTAAGGAGGGGGAGGAAGGGTTTGGAGGGGCAAGACAAAGAAGAGGTGGAGCAGGAGGAGGAACAGGAGGAGGAGCAGAAGGAGGAGGAAGAGCGGGGGGTGGTTGTGGCGCCAGAATCAAAATTCTAGTGCAGCACAGCCCGTGGAAGACAGCACGCCGGAGCAGGTCGATGTGTCCTGAGGGAAGCTGCAGCCCCCAGAGAGCATGCACAAGAGCCTGCGGGGCACCGTGCATGGGCAAAGCTAGCCGTCCTCCACAGCCTGCAGCTCTGGCAGCTTTGGAGTCTCTTTACAGCTAGCGTCCCATGGGAAGAGCCCCGGCAGAGTCTGGGCCTGTGAGCCATATTCTTAGGTTGCTGCACGCTCCTTGATGCTGTGGCCGCCTGGGCGAGTTTGGCCCGGCATCTTCAGTATTCTGTGTGGCTTTAAGGCATGGAAGGCCAGGCTACCCCTCCCGCATCCCTGCTGACATACTTGTGGACTCGTAGCTGACTTGTATCACCGAGAAAAAGAAGGCACGTGTAAAGAAGCATGCGCGAGCCATCAGTGCCCCACAACTTCAAACTCCATAACCACAGTCACGATGCGAAGGCCACTTGTTCTCGCACATTCCCTGCGAAGAGCAGGAACAGTCCACCTGGTTGTCTTGAAATGCGCACACACCCCCTCCCAAAAAGCGGCAGCTAAACCCCTTCCACTCCCCAGATTTACAGTTGCAGGCCCCTTTGCTTCTGCCTGATGTCCTGTGGAGCACCTGCTACCACTTGGCCGGTCGGATCGCGAGCACTGCGGCAGGCGCTGATGCTGCTTCTGTTGCTAGCACAGCTCCACAGCGCCACGGCTGCAGCCTGAAGTTCTTCCTGGCCACCAGATGGAGGCGCTGGGCATACACCGCATGGCAGGGCGGGGAAAGGGCCTTTTGTGAAGGGCAGGACTACGCTGCTGAGTGGCCCTCCCGGACGTGGGATGGGCCACGACAGGCAATCCCTCCCACCATCCTGCAGTGGCGGGCACCATTTTGTTTCATGCCGCACTCCACAGTGAGGAGCCGCCATTTTGTGAAAGGGCCCAACCCACTTGTTTCCGTACCGCTGCCTGATTGGCTTAGCCAGCTTTGTTTTTAAAACCCTGTCATCTTCTCATTCCTCCCTCTGATTGGCTGCCTGCTTCCAGACCGGGAAGGTCTCACGTGTAGGCAATGTTTATGTTTCTCTAGAGCCGTGCTGGGTGTTTGCCCACGTGCTGGCACCGGGGGCTGCTGGTGGCCTCTGAGAAGTAGCCGGTATCGGCGCCATGCAATCTGGCAAGGCCGGTTCCAGCGGCACTGCCGCAGAGCAGGACAGAACTCAGCTGCCAAGAAGGCGGGGCCTCGGGAGAAAAGGTGCTACGAAAGGGCAGCCAAAAAGGGTAAAATGCTGCTCAGCAGTGGGGAGCAAGGAGGAAAAAGTGTGAGAAACCGCTGTACAAAGTGTAAGGTGAGAGCTGGTGCGGGAGTAAGGAGGGGGAGGAAGGGTTTGGAGGGGCAAGACAAAGAAGAGGAGGAGCAGGAGGAGGAACAGGAGGAGGAGCAGAAGGAGGAGGAAGAGCGGGGGGTGGTTGTGGCGCCAGAATCAAAATTCTAGTGCAGCGCAGCCCGTGGAAGACAGCACGCCGGAGCAGGTCGATGTGTCCTGAGGGAAGCTGCAGCCCCCAGAGAGCATGCACAAGAGCCTGCGGGGCACCGTGCATGGGCAAAGCTAGCCGTCCTCCACAGCCTGCAGCTCTGGCAGCTTTGGAGTCTCTTTACAGCTAGCGTCCCATGGGAAGAGCCCCTGCAGAGTCTGGGCCTGTGAGCCATATTCTTAGGTTGCTGCACGCTCCTTGATGCTGTGGCCGCCTGGGCGAGTTTGGCCCGGCATCTTCAGTATTCTGTGTGGCTTTAAGGCATGGAAGGCCAGGCTACCCCTCCCGCATCCCTGCTGACATACTTGTGGACTCGTAGTTGACTTGTATCACCGAGAAAAAGAAGGCACGTGTAAAGAAGCATGCGCGAGCCATCAGTGCCCCACAACTTCAAACTCCATAACCACAGTCACGATGCGAAGGCCACTTGTTCTCGCACATTCCCTGCGAAGAGCAGGAACAGTCCACCTGGTTGTGTGAGAAACACTCCGTAGCCAATAACTTAGGCTCAGGCGAGGATCTCTGTGAAGTAGTAATTTATTCGCGATTGCAATGGCGGGCGCCCCACAAGCAGGAGAGAGCGCATCTACTAGTTCCAAAACACAGTTTATATACCTTTTGATGGCAGGACCCTCCCCTGTTTCCCCACTGAGTGGGTAATCCAGGTTCACAATCTATCTGATGCTTCACAAACAATGCATGGCCTTCAGTTGCCGGCCTGTTAAATTTCAAATTTCTTTTGACATTTTTACTGTTTGAAGTGGTAATGTTTCTTCACTTATCTGACTTGACTTGACACTGTGATTTTCACCTAATTGTCCTAAGGAGACTGGTTGTCTGCATTTTACTAGGTCGCCTGCTAAACTTTCTTATCACTGTAAGCATATCTCAGTACCACATTCCCTCCTTCTAAACAATGTAACTCTGCAAAAACAACATTTCTATTCCCACAATTCCCCCCTTTTCTTTTTTTTTATAAACTGTTGATTTTTGCAAAACCTTTCTCTAAGGTGCAATTTGATAGACTTCTTCTTCTTTGCTTTCTTTGCTTTCCATCTCCTCATTATCACCTTATCTGAGTAAGGTGGTAGGCTCCATGGTCATTTGTTTCAATAGTGCGGTTTCAGTTAACCACTGTACTAGGTCCTCTTACACAGAGGATAATGCAGCAACCAATGGCTGTCAAAACTCCTACAACTACGATCAATGTTGCAAATACGCCTATTTTTTTTTTTTTTTTCTGCCAATTCACTGGCAAGGGTGGTAAGCCCTTGCAATGCTCTTGTTACCGAGCCATCTGGGACACTATTGTTGGGTATAAGATTGCAACAATGGTTGCTCAGTATTACACACACAAACACACCTCCTTCCTCTGCGAGCATCATATCTAATGCTATCCTGTTTTCCCAAGCCATTTTGCTGATGGCATCTAGTTGTTCAGTGATTCCTCTCATCGCATCCTTGGTATAATTGATGAATCTCTGCTGATTATAATAGAAATAATTAATCCAATCCACATTTTTATTGATTGTTACCCACCAGAACAGTGACTCAAACTCTGCAGCAATTTGATTTCTGGCTTTATGTTCATCTGCAACTCCTCTAGGTACCCCAATAGAATCTATGTATACTCTATCATCAAATGATATTCCTAAGCCTCTTTTACTTCTCTGGGTATTTGTGATGTTTCTCTTTCAAATGCCAGGGTGAAGGGTATAGCTAATTGAACAAGTGCACAAGTGCCTTCCCAATTAGATGGTAGGGTGGACCATAAGATCTTCCCTCCACCGTACCACCAGAGATCTGCCCTGGGGATCTCTAGTCTTGAGCAGTTTCCCATCAAGTCCTTGGTAGCACAAGGCAAATTCTCCGTAGATGCCAGGTAGCACTCACACCCTGCCGTGAGAGGCAAGCTGTATGGTTACCTATAGCTGTAGAGAATGCAGGGGGAACCGTGATACTGTTATCATGCAAGGAACAGCAAAGAGAGACTTACAGGCCTCATTTCCCCAGGCAGTCTTTTCTTGGTACAATGCAATCATACATCGCATCCCTTGGGAGTCTTTGGTCCACCACCATGGGAAGGGCATTATCTGGGCAATCAGTCATCCCGAGGCACAAGCATAGCAGTAGCTACGGTTGAGACTCTGGACTGGTATATTTGACCCATTCTATCCAGGCATTCACATCCCCATACCTTGTTTGAACTGCCACATTTCAGAGGGCTTCCTGTTTTCTCTCCTGTTTTCTCCTTGAGTTTCTCCCTTTCTCTGATGGCAATAGAGGATTGTTTCCATACAGCTATTCTCAATCTGGCTGTTGGGTCTCTCCCAGTTATTTGTTCTCTCTGCTCAATTGTCGTTGGGCATTTAGATCTCCACAAGCTAACACCTCACAAACATCAAACGTGACAGAATGTGGTACATAACCCTCCTGTCACAGTCACCCATATTTTGACTGGGGTATCCCGTTTTTGCTATTATCTGGTCATGCCTTTTGCAAGTTGCCAATTGACCAAGGCCTTCTCTGAGGCCTAGAATCACTAAAAACAAAATTAATAATCAATTTTTCCCTGTCATTATTTTTAAACCTTAGGTTTCCAAATAATTATCGATACAAAAAAATAAGATGTACACTACTACTATAACAACCCCCCCCTTGGGAGCACTGCATTTCGCTATAGGTCTGTTCTTTCTTTCAATCACAAGTCACAGTCGTTAGTTACCTGTGAAAATAAAGGTTAGTTTACAATTGTAAGCTCTTATCCTGCTCAGAGTCCACTATGAGATTTTTCTATTCAATTTCAACTTCCAACAAGTCTTTTGTAGGAACAGCTTCCCAGGTACTAGCGTCGACGGATGCCTTCACTCGAGTATAGTGAGTCCAACCTTTTTCCGCAGTTCTTACGGCTGTTTCAGTGGTTAGTAATTGTCCTTCCCATTCAGGCCAGGAGTTGACTCTTTCCAGGTCCGAATCAGGACCCGGTTTCCTGGGTGATGGTGGTGAATGGGGAATTCCAAAGGTGGGGTTTGAGCCTGACAACCCACAGGTCCTGAGAAATGACAAAGAAGAGGACAACCCCAGAATACAGTTCTTAAGAAAACTCTCTGGTTTCGAATTGTGGTATCTCATCCCTTCTGCCCAGATAGGGCAATCTGAACAGCATCTCATATGGTGAAATTCCTATGTCCTTTCTTGGTGCTGTTTAAACCTGTAGGAGTAAGCATTTTACCCAAGGAAGTTGGGTTTCTAACACTAGTTTAGTTAATTGCTTCTTTAATGTCTGATTCATTAGCTCCACCTTCCCAGAAGAGGAGGGGTGCCAGGGGCTGTGAAAATCCCACTCAATCGCTAAGGCCCGCTTTAACCCTTGCAGTAAAGCTTTACACCCATCCAGTCACGTGGTCAATTAGGACAAACAAGTAACTCAGTAAAATTTACCTGTATACTTTGGAAAGGTCAAACCCCTGGCTCCCGTCCCCCTCTAGATGGGTTACAGAAGACCTTTTTATTTACCTTTTGACATATGGTACATCCTCTACATATGTGCTTCCCTAAAGTGTATATTCCTATACAGACATACTTTCGTAGCACAACATCACACAGTTGCTTGCACCTCCCAATGACTCTTTTGATGTAAAACAGTTAATATTTGCCTCATTATCACTTTATTCAGCATTTCTCTCCCATTAGGGAGTATCCATTTTCCTTCAGACTTCATAGCTCCTGATTCCTTAGAAAAAATCTTTCTTTTAAAACTTTTAGTTCTTTCTTAATTTTCAACAATTCCCTGAATCCTCTCTGCATTTATTCTTGTTTTCCTTCAGACATTAGATGCCTTAAATACCTGACTTCTCTTTCTCCATATTGTAATTTATTTATTTTTTTTTTAATACTCCCAAGCCCTGCTTTCCCAGAAAGTTGAATAGCTTGTTAGTAGCTTTCTTCACAACTCTTTTCTCCTGTCCTGACAATAGAAAACGGATCCACATATTTGTTAACATTAATATCTCCTTGGGAGGTTGTAATTGCTCCAAAATCTATTTATTTTTATTTTATTATTATTATTATTTTTTTTTTTTAGAATTTACCCAAATGGATAGGTGGCCCTGTAAACCCCTGAGGTAAAATTGGATAAATTTGTCCACCTATATTGTTGCTTCCGCCCCCATTTCAGGGTCTTTCCAGTCAGAGGTGAACACACATGTATGTTTGCTCTCAGGGCCTGAGAGCACTCCATTAATAACACTGTTATTCCAGTCTAACAATTTACTATTTGAATGCCCAATTTAATCATCAAATCCCTTCTCAACAAGTTAGTCCCTGCCTTGGGTACATACAATAATTACCCAGTGATCATTTTATCCCCTGGTCTCAGCTTGGTATCCCCCAAAAGTGGTACTGTTATCCCAGTTCCTTCTGCCCCCGACACTTTTTAGGGTTTCATTAGTTAATTTAATCCCTGATACTTTACAAGTCAGTAATGACCTAGCTGTTCCCCAGTGTATTGGGTTTGATGGCAAGGTTCGGGAGCTGTGAGTGGGGGGCGTGGGAAACTGCAGTGGCAGCCCCCGTGAGAAAAACCCAGAAGCCTCCCCGTGGCAGGTAATTCAATTCAATTTCAAACACTTTCATCCGGCCCCTAAGGGGCTCACTGCCGCCCAGAGCCAAGCCATGAGCAATACAGTCCGTGCCTCTGTGACAGCACATCCACGAAAACAAACAAACAAAGAAACAAACAAAAACCTGCTGCTCAACAGCAGTTGGGAGAGCGAGAAGCCCCCCCGCAGACACCAAAGTCAGTGCAGAAGGAGGGGGAGGAGGCGCTCCAGGCGCTGGAGCCGAAGCCCCCCTGCGGCCGCTGGAGAGGCTCCTGGTGGAGCAGGCTGTTCCCCCCCACCGTCCCCCTCCCCGATGCTTGGGAAACTGACCAAACACCACAGCAAATATACCAAAACTTCTAGACTGTTACTTAGATAATGCCTACATCCCCTTTCCCTGCTCATTCAACTTCAAACAGCTCTGTTAAATACTACATGCCACACCTTTAACCCCTTCAGCAACCCTTTTAACACTTCCTTTATCTTTCTCCAGCCTGTACTTTTAATACCAGCACCAAAGGCTCAGTCAGGGTCCAACTTAATTCCATACTTTTCCCTCCAAGATACTAAACAACATATCAATATAGCATATTTCATCCCATTTTCCTTCTTCCCTCCTTCTTCCACTCTGGATATTCCTATTCGAAGTGGCCAGCCTGGCCACACTTAAAACATCTTATCAAAGCCTGTCCCTGCTAGGACTCAGGCCACAACACAGGCAGCCTTCTTTGCCTGCCATTCCTTCATCTCTCTTCCTCTCCTTTCCATCCTGGCCCTAACTCCCCTTGAAGATTTTCTTCCTCTTTCTCCAACCCTCTGCTTCACTACCCGCTGCACTGTCAATACCATTAGTTTCACTCTTTTTTTTTTTTTTTTTTCCTTCTTATCTCCCCTCCAGACACACAGCCTCCAGGGCCTCCCGCAGGAGGGTCCCCCAGTGACTGTTCACTACATCCCCCCACCTTCTGAAGCATTTTCTGCGTATTTTGCCAGGCTTTAATCACACAATGAACTTTCAGAGCCCTTGGGATACTGGGTCCTCAGGTCTCATCCCCAAGTACTTTCTCATTCTGACCCCAAGTCTCTCATATGATTTCTGTGTTGCACACTATTATTATTCCAGCCAGGATTGGCAAGTGGGTATTTCTGCCCTGCCGGTATTACCCCTGGTCCTGGAGGATGAGCTCTTTCCCATTCTTGTATAGCAGCTCTCCTCCTGATCATTCCCATTTCTTTCCCTGTAGACAACATACTTACAGACATAATTCCCTCCCCCAAGAGTATAAATCAGGTCGTAGGAACTGGTCTAATTGTTCAACTAGGCTGTTGGGGTCCTCGAATAAAGACTTCCTCTCCTTCTTAAAAGTCCTAACCTCTCTGCTGGTAAGGAGGAGGGGGGTAGTTCACCTAAGAGGATACACAGTTAGTGTTAGTACTGTTAGTATCAGGGAAGGCAAAATTCTCAATATCTCTTCTACCTTGTTCTAATTCTTGCCGGAGCCTAGGGTACGATACTTTTTTAGGGACAGTGTTAATTATAGTCCCTGTCTCCCTTCCTGGAGTGACTGCTGCTGCCACCAGTTCAATATTAAGATTATAGGGAGCATAACTTGGCTCCTTCTCTGAAAAAGGAATCTTCTTGTTTGCACATAAATTTAAAGCCTGAATTTTCATCAGACCCGTATTTTGGCCAAAATACTGCTGTTTCCTTAATTGGTTCTTTTGTCCAGACTGATACACAATATTTAACCTTTTTAAATTATTTTTCTTTTACAATCCCTCTAATTTTGGGATTATGTTTCCAATTTCTTATCATTCTTCAGGAAGAACTATTAGTAGGCACTCCCCCAGGGATATCTCCCTGTCCCCTGGAACTCATATTTTCCCATTTTTCCTAACCCTCGCCAGTATGTGCTACAGAAATTTCCCTTCTGCAGTGTACCACACACCAACGTACTGAAAAATGGGGGTGTACCGCCGAGCACTTCCCCGTGCCAGCGTTACCGCACACCTATGAGTTTACCAGATTCCCTGGAACTCGTGCTTCCCATCTTTCCTAACCCTCACCAGTATGTGCTACAGAATTTTCCCTTCTGCAGTGTACCACACACCAACGTACTGAAAGATGGGGGTGTACCGCCAAGCACTTCCCCGTGCCAGCGTTACCGCACACCTGAGTTTACCAGATTCCCTGGTGTACTTCCAAGCACTTCCCCGTGCAAGGATTACCGTACACCAGATTCCCCTGGTGTAGTGCCAGCACTTCCCCGTGCAAGGGCTTACCATACACCAGATACCCGACCCCCAAGGCAATACTTAATATTTCTTACCTTGGTCTGTGCACAGAGTTACCGGATCGATTCTTAAAAACCCGGAGTGCCTACCTTCTTCCTTTCCCCACTACTTCACGGATCCTGCCTCTTTAACCAGTCTCGAGCCCTCTGTCAGCTCTCCGCAGAACCACCACCGTCGATGCACAGGACCGCTGAAATCAGCGGGGCATGCCTTCCTGCTGCTGCGGCGGTGGGGCTCCCCAGTAGGTGACTGGATCCCGGACGAGCCCCCAAATTGTGAGAAACACTCCGTAGCCAATAACTTAGGCTCAGGCGAGGATCTCAGTGAAGTAGTAATTTATTCGCGATTGCAATGGCGGGCGCCCCACAAGCAGGAGAGAGCGCATCTACTAGTTCCAAAACACAGTTTATATACCTTTTGATGGCAGGACCCTCCCCTGTTTCCCCACTGAGTGGGTAATCCAGGTTCACAATCTATCTGATGCTTCACAAACAATGCATGGCCTTCAGTTGCCGGCCTGTTAAATTTCAAATTTCTTTTGACATTTTTACTGTTTGAAGTGGTAATGTTTCTTCACTTATCTGACTTGACTTGACACCGTGATTTTCACCTAACTGTCCTAAGGAGACTGGTTGTCTGCATTTTACTAGGTCGCCTGCTAAACTTTCTTATCACTGTAAGCATATCTCAGTACCACATTCCCTCCTTCTAAACAATGTAACTCTGCAAAAACAACATTTCTATTCCCACAGTTGTCTTGAAATGCGCACACACCCCCTCCCAAAAAGCGGCAGCTAAACCCCTTCCACTCCCCAGATTTACAGTTGCAGGCCCCTTTGCTTCTGCCTGATGTCCTGTGGAGCACCTGCTACCACTTGGCCGGTCGGATCGCGAGCACTGCGGCAGGCGCTGATGCTGCTTCTGTTGCTAGCACAGCTCCACAGCGCCACGGCTGCAGCCTGAAGTTCTTCCTGGCCACCAGATGGAGGCGCTGGGCATACACCGCATGGCAGGGCGGGGAAAGGGCCTTTTGTGAAGGGCAGGACTACGCTGCTGAGTGGCCCTCCCGGACGTGGGATGGGCCACGACAGGCAATCCCTCCCACCATCCTGCAGTGGCGGGCACCATTTTGTTTCATGCCGCACTCCACAGTGAGGAGCCGCCATTTTGTGAAAGGGCCCAACCCACTTGTTTCCGTACCGCTGCCTGATTGGCTTAGCCAGCTTTGTTTTTAAACCCCTGTCATCTTCTCATTCCTCCCTCTGATTGGCTGCCTGCTTCCAGACCGGGAAGGTCTCACGTGTAGGCAATGTTTATGTTTCTCTAGAGCCGTGCTGGGTGTTTGCCCACGTGCTGGCACCGGGGGCTGCTGGTGGCCTCTGAGAAGTAGCCGGTATCGGCGCCATGCAATCTGGCAAGGCCGGTTCCAGCGGCACTGCCGCAGAGCAGGACAGAACTCAGCTGCCAAGAAGGCGGGGCCTCGGGAGAAAAGGTGCTACGAAAGGGCAGCCAAAAAGGGTAAAATGCTGCTCAGCAGTGGGGAGCAAGGAGGAAAAAGTGTGAGAAACCGCTGTGCAAAGTGTAAGGTGAGAGCTGGTGCGGGAGTAAGGAGGGGGAGGAAGGGTTTGGAGGGGCAAGACAAAGAAGAGGTGGAGCAGGAGGAGGAACAGGAGGAGGAGCAGAAGGAGGAGGAAGAGCGGGGGGTGGTTGTGGCGCCAGAATCAAAATTCTAGTGCAGCGCAGCCCGTGGAAGACAGCACGCCGGAGCAGGTCGATGTGTCCTGAGGGAAGCTGCAGCCCCCAGAGAGCATGCACAAGAGCCTGCGGGGCACCGTGCATGGGCAAAGCTAGCCGTCCTCCACAGCCTGCAGCTCTGGCAGCTTTGGAGTCTCTTTACAGCTAGCGTCCCATGGGAAGAGCCCCGGCAGAGTCTGGGCCTGTGAGCCATATTTTTAGGTTGCTGCACGCTCCTTGATGCTGTGGCCTCCTGGGCGAGTTTGGCCCGGCATCTTCAGTATTCTGTGTGGCTTTAAGGCATGGAAGGCCAGGCTACCCCTCCCGCATCCCTGCTGACATACTTGTGGACTCGTAGCTGACTTGTATCACCGAGAAAAAGAAGGCACGTGTAAAGAAGCATGCATCACCCATCAGTGCCCCACAACTTCAAACTCCATAACCACAGTCACGATGCAAAGGCCACTTGTTCTCGCACATTCCCTGCGAAGAGCAGGAACAGTCCACCTGGTTGTCTTGAAATGCGCACACACCCCCTCCCAAAAAGCGGCAGCTAAACCCCTTCCACTCCCCAGATTTACAGTTGCAATCTCATTTTCTTATGCATCAGCTCTATGCTTTGGAAACATTATCTATAATACGAATTCCACCTATTCCCTTTTTTCTTCAGCGACCCATCCTGTAGAGGGGATAGGAGATATTTCTTCCTACCTATTAATTCTCCCTTCCTTTTTCAGCTCTCTCTTATTCCCAGAGATGGTTATGATAGTTCTTCTGGATTTTGAATATTCTTGGGACATTCACACCAACATGTTGTTATTGTTATATCTCCTGAATGCACTTCTTATTTTCTTTAAGGTTAAACATAGACTTAGGAATGCCATCCTGAGATTTTTCCTGAGTCTGGGTATTTGTGAGTGGCAGCAAGTGCGGGAGGATATGGATTGGTATCTAGAGCAGTGGATAACTCCAGTGTTTTTGAAATTCACCCCTGAACAACTGGAAATTCCTAAAAAACTGGTAGAACACTTGAAAAAGGGATGTCATGACTCTGGCAATTCCAAAGAGACACAATTCGCTGTAGCGTGCCATGGTCTGGCCTATGCCTGTCGAGCTTCAATCGATGCTACTATAACTCTAGTGACAGACCCTGTGGCCACTCCAAGTCCTGAGACAGGCCCGATGGCCCCTGCAGCCCCTGCAGCCACTCCAACCCCTACAATGGACCCTGCGGCCACTGCAGTCCCTGCAGTCACTCCAACCTCTGCAGCCACGTCAGCCCCTGTGGCCTCTCCAGCTCCTGTGGCTACTCCAGCCCCTGCAGCTTCTCCAGCCCCTGTGGCTACTGCAGCCCCTGTGGTTTCTTCAGCCCCTGCGGTCTTTCCAGCTCCCATGGCTTCTCCAGCTCCTGTGGCCTCTCCAGCTCCTGTGGCCACTCCAGCTCCTGCGGCCAGTCCAACCCCTGTGATTGGCCCAGCGGTGGTTCCAGCTCCTGTGACAAGCCCAGCAGTCATTCCAGCCCCTGTGGCAGGTCTTGTGGCTGGGTCAGAGAAATGAACTGTAGCAGTGCAAACTGCCCCTGTAGACATGGTGAAAAAAGTGGTATAGAGAGTCAAATTGTTTCGAATGCAGAGAAACTCCTGCTAAGACTAAGTATAGAAAAGACAAGGCCGGACCATCAGAGGAACAGGAGGATGAAGATGAATATGTCAAATAAGCAACAGTAACTACCCAAAACCCATACCGGTGTGAGCTACGAGATGTGCGAAAAGATTTTGGTCGCTGTATAGGTGAGCAGCTTGTCAGCTGGCTGCTCCGGTGCTGGGACACTGGAGCCAGTTGTCTGGAATTAGAGGGTACGGAAGCCAGGCGGCTGGGATCCCTTGCTAGAGATGCAGACATTGACAAAGCAGTTGAAGATGGAGCACCACCTTTCAGCCTCTGGAGGCGCCTCCTGTCAGCTGTGAAGGAAAGATACCCCTTCAAGGAAGAACTCCTATGTCTACCAGGCAAGTGGACCACTATGGAGAAGGGAATCCAGTACCTGAGAGAATGAGCCATACGAGAGGTGATTTATAGGGACCTAGACAATGAACAAATACCCACAGATTCAGATGAAGTCCAGTGTACACGACCCACGTGGCAGAAGCTTGTACAGAGTGCACCATCATCATATGCCAGCTCATTGGCAGTAATGGCCTGGGAAGAACATGAGGAACCCACAGTGGATGAAGTGACTGAGCAACTCTGGCAGTACAAAGAAAGTCTCTCCTCTTTCCTACACACCTGCATCTCAGCTGTGGAGAAACTTTCTGAAAAGTTTTACCAACTTAAAGAGAATTTATTCTCCTCCCCACCTGTACAAAGCAGTCTCCACCAACTAAAAGAGAATACTTTGGAGAAATTTTCTGAAGAGGTCCACCAATTTAAAGAGAGTTTATTTTCCTCCCCACCTGTACAAACCAGTGTCAGCTATCAGGGGTAAGCATCCGTCCATGCAAGGAAGACGATAAAGCGTGTACACACCCCTTGCCCCCCTGTGGTTTTACCTACGTGACCATGGAGAGGACATGAGAAAATGGGATAGAAAATCTACCTCAACCCTAGACGCACAGGTATGTGAGTTGCAAAGAAAAATAACTGGGATAAAGGGGTTCTCTGAGAAGCTTGCCGCTCCAACTTCCAGCAGTCAGTCCTTCAGACACGGAAATGAAGATTCTGACCAGGATTAGAGAGGCCCTGCATCCAGCCAGGGGGTGGAAAGGGACAATCAAGTTTATTGGACTGTGTAGATTCTATGGCCTGGCACGTCAGACGCACAGAAGTATAAGGCTTTAGTAGACACCGGTGCACAGTGTACTGTAATGCCCTCAAGCTATAAAGGGCCAGAAGCCATCTGTATTTATGGGGTGATGGGTGGATCCCAGCAGTTAACTGTACTGGAGGCTGAGGTGAGGAATAACTGGGAATAACTGGCAAAAGCACTGTATTGTGACTAGTCTGGATGCTCCATGCATCCTTGGCATAGACTATCTCAGAAGAGGGTATTTCAAGGACCCAAAAGGGTTCCGGTGGGATTTTGGCATAGCTGCCTTAGAGACAGAGGACATTAAACAGTTGTCTACCTTGCCTGGTCTCTCGGAGGACCCTTCTGTTGTGAGGTTCACAGAATCACAGAATCATCTAGGTTGGAAGAGACCTCCAAGATCACCTAGTCCAACCTCTTACCTATTACTAACAAGTCCTCCACTAAACCATATCACTAAGCTCTATATCTAAATGTCTTTTAAAGACCTCCAGGGATGGTGACTCCACCACTTCCCTGGGCAGCCCGTTCCAATGCCTCACAACCCCTTCAGCAAAGAAGTTTTTCCTAATAACCAAACCTAAACCTCCCCTGGGACAACTTTAGCCCATTCCCCCTCGTCCTGTCACCAGGCACGTGGGAGAACAGACCAATCCCCACCTCGCTACAGCCTCCATAACATACCTGTAGAGAGCAAGAAGGTTGCCCCTGAGCCTCCTTTTCTCCAGGCTGAACAATCCCAGCCCCCTCAGCCGCTCCTCGTAAGACTTGTTCTCCAGACCCTTCACCAGCTTTGTTGCCCTTCTCTGGACTCCCTCGACCACCTCCATGTCCTTCTTGTAGTGAGGGGCCCAAAAGTGAACACAGCACTTGAGGTGCGGCCTCACCAGAGCCGAGTACAGGCGGACAATCACTTACTTAGACCTGCTGGCCACACTGCTTCTTGTACAAGCCAGGATGCTGTTGGCCTTCTTGGCCACCTGAGCACACTGCTGGCTCATATTCAGCCGACTCTCAACCAATACTCCCAGGTCCTTCTCTGCCAGGCAGCTCTCCAACCACTCATCTCTCAGCCTGTACCTCTGCTTGGGGTTGTTGTGCGCCAGGTGCAGGACCCGGCACTTGGCCTTGTTGAACTTCATACAGTTGGCCTCAGCCCATCAGTCCAGCCTATCCAGATCTTCCTGCAGAGCCTTCCTACCTGTGAGCAGATCGACACACCCACCTAACTTGGTGTCATCTGCAAACTTACTGAGGGTGCACTTGATCCTTTCATCCAGATCATCGATAAAGATATTTAAGAGAACTGGCCCTAGTACTGAGCCCTGATGGACTCCACTAGTGACTGGCCTCCAACTGGATTTAACTCCATTCTCCATGACTCTTTGGACCTGTCTATCCAGCCAGTTTTTAATCCAACGAAGCGTATGCCAGTCCAAGCCATGAGCAACCAGTTTCTTGAGGAGAATGCTGTGGGAAAGTGTCAAAAAGCTTACTGAAGTCATGGTAGACCACATCCACTGCCTTTCTCTCATCCCCTAAGCGCGTCACTTCGTCATAGGAGGAGATCAAGTTTGTCAAGCAGGACCTGCCTTTCATAAACCCATGCTGACTGGGCCTGATCACCTAGTTGCCCTGCAAGTGCTGTGTGGTAAGATAATCTGCTGCATGAGCTTCCCTGGCACTGAGGTCAAACTAATAGGCCTATAGTTTGCCAGGTCTACCCTCTGGCCTTTCTTGTAGATGACTGTCACATTTCCTAGCTGCCAGTCAACTGGGACCTCCCCTGATAGCCAGGACTGCCAATAAATGATGGAAGGCGGCTTGGCCAGCTCTTCCACCAGTTCTCTCAGTACACTCGGGTGGATCCCATCCAGCCTCATCGACTTGCGTACATCGAAGTGCTGTAGCAGGTCGCTAACCATTTCCTCGTGGATTGTGGGGGCCGCATTCTGCTCCCCATACCCTTCCACCAGTTTAGGGTATTGGGTATCTAGAGAACAGCTGGTCTTGCTGCTAAAGACTGAGGCAAAAAAAGGCATTAAGCACCTCAGCCTTTTCCTCATCTCTCCTCTCTAAGTTTCCCCCCACATCCAGTTAAAGGATGGAGACTCTCCTTAGTCCTCCTTTTCATGTTAATGTATTTATAAAAACATTTCCTTTTATCTTTAACAGTAGTAGCCAGACAGCTCCAGATGAGCTTTTGGCCTTTCTAATTTTTTCCCTGCACATCCTTACAACACCCTTATAATTCTTCTGAGTGGCCCACCCTCTTTTCCAAAGACCACAAACCCTCTTTTTTTTTTTTTTTCCTAAGCTCTAGCCTCAAATCTCTGTTCAGCCAGGCCGGTCTTCTTCCACACTGGCTCATCTTTGGGCGCCTGGGGACAGACCGCTCCTGAGCCATTAAGATTTCCTTCTTGAGGAGTGCGCAGCCTTCCAAGACTCCTCTGCCCTTCAGAACTGCCTCCCAAGCGACTCTACCAACCAGGGTCCTAAACACCTCAAAGTCAGCCCTCTGGAAGCCCAAGACAGCAGTTTTACTGATCCTTCTCCTGACTTCGCCAAGAATTGAGAACTCTACTATTTCATGGTCACTCTGCCCAAAACAGCTCCTGACCACCACATCTCCCACCAGTACTTCTCTGTTTGTGAACAGAAGGTCTAGCGGGGCACCTCCCCTGGCAGGCTCACTAACCAGCTGCATCAGGAAACTATCTTCCATGCTCTCCAGAAACCTCCTAGACTGTTTGCTCTGAGATGTATTGCATTTCCAGAATACATCTGGGAGGTTGAAGTCCCCCATCAGAACAAGAGCTGATGATTTCACAACGTTTGCCAGATGCCTGTAGAACTCCTCATCCATCTCCTCATTCTGGTTTGGCAGTCTGTAACAGACCCCTACCAGGATGCTTGCCTTGTTGGCCTTCCCGCCGATCCTAACCCATAGGGACTCAACCTTATTTCCAGTCTCAGGTTCCACAACATCAAAACACTCTCTAATATGGAGAGCCACACCACCACCCCTTCTGTGCTGCCTGTCCCTTCTGAAGAGCCCATAGCCAGTCATTGCAGCACTCCAGTCATGGGGGTTGCTGACGGTCAAAGAACAGCAGGTGCCAATCGTTACCACGACTGTGCACCAGCAGCAATATTGCACCAACCAAGACTCTCTGATTCCCATCCATAAGCTAATTTGTCAACTGGAGAACCAGGGAGTGATCAGCAAGACTCATTCACCTTTTGATAGTCCCATATGGCCAGTGCAAAAGTCTACTGGTGAGTGGAGACTAACAGTGGAGACTATCGTGGCCTAAACGAAGTCACACCACTGCTAAGTGCTTCAGTGCAGGACTCCAGTATGAACTGGAATCTAAGGCAGCCAAGTGGTGTGCCACAATTGATATCACTAATGCATTTTTCTCTATCCCTTTAGCAGCAGAGTACAGGCCACTGATTGCTTTCACTTGGAGGGGAGTCCACTACACGTGGAAATTGGCTGCCCCAGGGGTATAAACACAACCCTACCATTTGCCATGGACAGATCCAGTCTGCGCTGGAACAAGGGAAAACTCCTGAACACCTGCAGTACACCGATTACATCGTGTGGGCTGACACAGCAGAGGAAGTTTTTGAGAAATGGAAGAAAATAGTCCAAATCCTTCTGAAGGCAAATTTTGCCATAAAACAAAACAACGTCAAAGGACCCGCATGAGAGATCCAGTTTTTAGGAATAAAATGGCAAGATGGACGCTGTCAAATCCCAATAGATGTGATCAACAAAATAACAGCTATGTCTCCACCAACTAGCAAAAAAGAAATACAAACTTTCCTAGGTGTCATGGGGTTTTGGAGAATGCACATTCCAAATTACAGTCTGATTGTAAACCCACTCTACCAAGTAACCCATAAGAAGAAAGAGTTTGAATGGGGCCCTGAGCAACGACAAGCCTTTGAACAAATTAAGCAGGAATTAGTTCATGCAGTAGCCCTTGGGCCAGTCCGGCCAGGAACAGATGTAAAGAACGTGCTCTACACCACAGCCAGGGAGAATGGCCTCACCTGGAGCCTCTGGCAGAAAGAACCTGGGGAAAGTCGAGGTCAGCCCCTAGGGTTTTGGAATCAGGGATACAGAGGATCTGCGGCCTACTGCACTCCAACCAAAAATGAGATATTGGCAGCATATGAAGGAGTTCAACCTGCTTCGGAAATGGTTGGTACTGAAGCACAGCACCTTCTCGCACCCTGACTGCCAGTACTAGGCTGGATGTTCAAAGGAGTAGTCCCCTCTACACATCATGCAACTGATGCTACATGGAGTAAGTGGGTTGCACTGATTACTCAGTGGGCTCAGATAGGAAACCCCAGTCACCCAGGAATCTTGGAACATCAGAGATGGAAGGCTGCTGTATGGAATCCTGCATGACGACTTGCAGAAGCTGCTGAGCGAGAAGGTGAATCGAGTCAGTTTGCAGAAGCGAAAGCTATCCAGCTGGCTTTAGACATCGTTGAATGAGAAAAGTGGCCAGTTCTCTGTCTCTACACTGCTTCATGGATGGTAGCGAATGTCCTGTGGGGGTGATTACAGCAATAGAAGCAGAACAACTGGCTGCACAGGGGTAAACCCATCTGGGCTGCTGCATTGTGGCAAGATATTGCTGGCCAGGTAGAGAACCTGGTTGTAAAGGTACTCCACATAGATGCTCATGTGCCCAGGAATTGGGCTACTGAAGAACAAAACAACCAGCAGGTGGATCAGGCTACTAAGATTGAAGTGGCTTAGGTGGGCCTGGACTGGCAACATAAAGGTGAATTATTTATAGCTCAGTGGGCCCATGACACCTCGGGCCATCAAGGTAGAGATGCAACATACAGATGGGCTCGTGATCGAGGGGTGGACCTGACCATGGACACTATAGCACAAGTTATTCATGATTGTGAAACCTGTGCTGCAGTCAAGCAAGCCAAACAGTCAAAGCCTCTTTGGTATGGAGGACAATGGCTGAAATATAAATATGGAGAGGCCTGGCAGATTGATTACATCGCTCTCCCTCAAACCCGCAATCGTAAGTGCCACATACTTACACTGGTGGAAGCAACCAGCAGATGGCGGGAAGCATATCCTGTGCCCCATGCCACTGCCAGGAACACTGTCCTGGGCCTTGAAAAGCAAGTCCTATGGCAACATGGCAACATGGCACACAAAAAGAATTGAGTCAGACAATGGGACTAATTTCCAAAACAACCTTACAGACACTTTGGCCAAAGAGCATAGTATTGAATGGGTGTATCACATCCCCTATCATGCACCAGCCTCTGGGAAAGTTGAA